CACTCACACGCGGGGTTGCCACAAACACGCGGTTACACGAGGTCCTGACACACTCAACCCTGGCAGGGCCGCACAAACAACCCTGGCAGCCACACACGCCTGCACCCCCCTCACACACGCAGCCCCCGCTGACCCTGTCGCGCTCCCACGCGTGCCCCGCACCACCTCACCACGCACAGCCTCACAGACACGCGTGTCCCCTCCCACAGACTCGCCCCGCACACCCAAGATGGCGCCCGCGCGGCCCCTCCCGCCCTCTGCCGGCGGGAACCGGCCATGACATCCCCCCCTCAGCCCGGCCCCACAAAACCAGCTTCTCCACCCTCACGTTTTAAGCCTTATAAAAAACCAGGCGTTTCCTTCTCAATGCAAGTCAGTCGATCAGTTTAGCAGCAGATTCCCTCTTACGAACGGCAAGAGTTAATTCCAAGGGGCGTTTCGCCTCAGAAACGCCGTCAGGGCAGCTGGCCAAGCGAGGTCAGGCGTGAGGAGGAGGTTGGTTGTACTTTTTGGGTCAGGGGATGCAGATCCAGGTGTCTCAGAACACCCCAGTGCCCCCCAGAGCCCCCCGAGTCCTCACCTTGTAGATGCAGGACTTGGCGTTCAAGAAGAACAGCTCGATGGTGGCATTGTCCTTGAGATAGGAGATGCTCTCGATGTAGAACCTGAAGGGGAAAGCGGGAGGTTAAGACACAAGGAGGAACTGGGGGGGGGGGAGGAAAACAAAGACATTCAATGAAAAATGTGGTCAACAGAGACGTGATGAGTATACTAAAAGCCAAGTTTCTTTGATTTATGACGGATAGGGGTGATGAAAGAGGCTTGTGTGTGTTCTGGGACACCATCAGTCACCACCAGCCCAGCCATGCCAGACGAACTGGATCACATCTTGGCGTTTCTTCCTCACTCCGTTACCTAACCTACCCATTTCTGTGCTGTTGACCTGCATCTCCTAAAACGTTCACCAGCAGAAATCCACTTCTGGATCCCTTCCCTGTCCACCTCAGCTATGGTCACAGCGTAAGCGACCAGCAACAGTTAAGAACCTTGCACAATTTACCATGAGTAGCAATGCTGCTATGACTGGGAATACCAGTAATTTATTTGTTTGTTTATTTATTTAGGTTTTTGAGCTGAGATGACTTCTGAGAAGTCAGTAGAAAGCTGACCAGCCCAAACCCTCAATATCAGAAAACCCCACTCTTTTGCATTGGCTGATTACCCCAAATATTTGCAGAAAGCTCGTGATATGTGTAAGTCAATTCAGGGCTCTATGTCCTGCCTGCTTTGAAGGTTTCATCCTTTGGCAGTGAACTCCATGAGAGTTTTTACCTCTGGCTTGAACTGACTCCAGCCCTTAATTTTGCCTTGACACCTTTTGGGGAAAAAAGCTCAGGACATGGTCAAAGTTAATGACTGATAGCTACATGTAAGTACATTGTATGTTCCTGTAATAAGAGATGAAGCCCAGGTAGGTTCAGTGAATGATTAAGGTGAATTTTGCGTTTACTCTGTGTTTTAAGTAAGGAAACCCCCTCCCATCTGTCTGCCCACCCTGTTCTATAGTGAACTTTTAAGTTGCAGTACAGTGGCAGCAATGTTCCTTACATGAATTCCAGTACTATCGTGCCTTGTCAGAGGCAATTGGAATAGAGAAGGTGCCAGGGAAATGCTGTCTGCATCAGGAACATAAAAAACATGAGATACCTTAGAAATCTGGGTTGAGATGCAGGGTTCAGTTACAGAGAAACCTTACTCCTTGACCCTGTGGTCTGGGAGTGGAGCTGAGAGACCTGTTGACACTCCTGGGGCTTCACACAAGCCCCGGAGAGATTGTCTGTGCTGAGCTATTTGCAGAGCAGAGTGCCTTAAATGTAACCTTTTCAGGGGCAAAGGTAAAAGCTTTTTAGTGCTCCTAAGCATCTTCTGAAGACCCTTCAAAATAGTTTATTTCCTGACAGATACAACCAACTGCTTGCTCACTAGGAGTGAGAGAAACATTTTGAGCTCTTCTTGTTCATCTGCTGGAGTGCTTCTGTTATTATCACTCTTTCTCCCCCTCTAAAAGAGTTCAAATGAGAAATAAAAATAATACCCCCCCCCAAAAAAAAAAATCAAATGTAGGGAACAGGAGGCACAAAATTTGAATATTTTTTTTTTCCTGATTTCCACTGGGTTTCACCTCCTGTCCTTGACAGTGCCTCTCTCTTTGGCTTTAGAAATGCAAAAAAGATGCAGCATTAAAAAAAGAACCTCTGAGTGCTCTCTGAGTGCAGCTGGCTTTCCATCTGCTGAATTCATGGATAAAAATGGTAATTTTACACATTCTGTGATGCTTGAAGAACCTCCTTTGCTTATCACCACTACCAGTGCTCTCAAAGTTGTGATGGTAGGCTCTTTAATTCCAGGGTCAGAATAAAACAGGAACATTTATTCTATTTTTTAATGCCAGTGAAGGTTAGCCGAACTGCTTTTTGTTCCATCAGATCAAACGAGACCACTCTCATTATCACTAGAGGGCAATATTGCATTTCTTAAGGCTGCAAGGATCTTTCCCAAGGTTTTCCACATAGAGACACAGATACACAGGTAATTTTCTGTACAAAACTGAGTCTCTCGAAGCACAGAGCCTGCACATGATACTTCATCTTCACAAAGAAAACCCACTTCTCAAGTCATCTCCAGACTGGAGAGCATTCTGGGGAGCTACTGGCACTCACACATGCACCCAGTCAAATGCAAAGCATGTGCACCAGGAAATTGGTGCTACTTAAAAGAAACCAGATTTGCAAAGAGAGCTCTTAGGGGATTTTCTGTGTGGCAAGCTCAGAAAACCTGAACTGGAGCAGACTCCCCTGAATCCACAGCCCATGCTGCAACAATGGAAAGGGGAGGGAAAGACATGTTTTTTGCACTGACCATGAATCTCTCTCAGCCCTCCTCTTGTTGCCACCTTTTCTAAGCACTGCACATCAAAACCAAAATCCTTTTGCTTCATTCTGACTTCTTCCATGAAATCTGGTTTTATGTTTTACTTTCCTTTTTCATGGGAAAAAAAGTGTTTTCACCAGGGGAGAAAAAGGCCACTTGAATTGTTATGCTGTGAAATCCTCTGAAAGCAGCAAGTCATCTGAGGAGTGAGACTTGATAGTACAGAAACAAGAGATTGCTTTGCTCTGCCCTTGTCTGATCTGGACTCCCCAGATGGCAGAGGGACCCTTTGTCAGGGCTCCAGTTTCAATTACAGTTTTTTTTCTGGTAGGGGCACTGCTTATGTAGATGTTCCTCAATGAAACCAAGTGTTGAAACCCTTCTGAGGTCTTCCAATGTCCATTCAATGTTTTATTTGAATTTTCTTGGAGGAAAACATCATGGCACCAGAATTGGAGTTTTTGAGTGTTTTCTTTTGTTGAAGACATGTTTTTCTTGTTGGATAAAAGCCTTTTGGACCACTTGGTTCCCACTAGAGTACAACATCACAAAAACTAGGATGATATCACTGTTTCAGGATAAATCTACACCTGAAGTAGACAAGACATGCATTTGCTGTGATCATGCTTCAAAATATCGTGTTAAAGACCACAGTGAAATAAGTTTACCATTTTGGGATATGTCCAGGTCTGTGTGTTAGTGACAATGCTAGAAATGGTCTTATTTTATAGCTTCTTTTGGTGTGTGGAAGCTGGGATTGCTGCTCATTTCAGCTCTTGCTGTCCACAAAAGCACAGCACCAGCACAGGCACTTTTGGAGGCCCTTTTCCTGGTAGCCCTGAGGCCTCCTATCCCCACTGCATGTAGGAAGCACAAGTGACCAGGCACCTTCCCTACATTCCTAAATTTGCCCAAATTCAGCTGAGTTTGCATATGAAGCCTGCAGCAGCAGCCAGGGTTTCTCCATACCCTAAAGGACCAGTAATCTCACTGGCGATTCCAAGGCCCTGTCAGTCATTCCTCCCTGCTGCAAGTTGGAGGTGGACTTGGGTGTGGTGCAAGGGAGACATTACAGTAGTGCCAGTTTCCCATCACCCAAGGATCAGGAGTTTCCACAGCTGCTTCTCACAGGCACCACTGTTCAAATGTCCATGGTTATGGCTCGTTATGTTGGGAATTGCTATTCACCATGGCTTGAGGGGGCTCAAGCTGTCTCAGACCAAGTAGTCAGTTAACCAGTGCTTAATAAACAGCAATCTGATCAGTATGAGGCATGTCCTCACAGCTAAAAGGATGTAAATGTTTCAGATGCAGCAGCTTCTGAAGTCTTCCAAGATACCTTTTGCAGTACTCATTTATTATCTTCCTGCTACTAAGAGGGAGAAGTCAAGATAAGCATTTTGTGTTCATTACCCAGTGTAATATTCATTGGTCTATTTAATTAATACTTAGAAAATGTACTTGATGAATCATAAGTTACTGGGGGTGGAATGAGGAATGCAGAAATAGATTAACATTGGCTGATCTTTTAAACTTTTTCAAAAATTATTTATCTGGTTTTTACACTCCAAGTCTTGTGGGGTGTTTCCCCTTCCTGCAGGCACCTAATTTCTCATAGAAACAGTTGATGGCTGTCAAAGAACCTCTTGGAGGAGCTGCTTGAGGCGAAGCTATTTGTTGGCTGTAATGCAAGAGACATAGGTAGCAGAGCAGAGGTGTCAGACACATTGCACTGCCTGTTTTACTGTCCAGCCTATCCATTATTTCTTGGATATATCAGCTTCAAAGCACATGGAGGAATGCTGCTCCCAGGAGAGTCCTCAACAGGACTCTGAGAATTGCCCCTTAAAACTGATGATGATCTTGAAGCACACCCTAAGAAAGGGTTTATAAGCTTAACAGGTAAAACAGACAGAGGGGGGCAGAGGAGGGAGGAGTATTTTCTAAACACAGCACAACAGCCCCAAGCAGCTAAATGATTTTCTGAAGGTCACGAAGGAAACCTGTATTCAAGTCAGGCATTTAACCCAGATTTTTTTCTTGATTCATTGCCTTAGCAGCTGGATGCTTCTTCCTGCTGCCTTAGTCACTCACACTGGCCATTGTAAAGTGTGGTTTCCTCCACCGTGTTTAGAAAAGGTGGCAACAGGAGGAGGGCTGAGAGAGATTCATGGTCAGGATGCAGGACATAGTTACCAGCAGAGCTTGGTGGACTGCCCCTTATTTCATTATTACACAGCAATGGATAAAGGAGAAGACCCCTTTTCTGTCTCATCATCCATCCTGGGGCCTGGCTCATTATCCCTCATGATATCATTTAAAACCTCAGAGGATAATTTGAAAAATATGAGGCCATTTGCTAACCAGGGCAAGAAAAATCACATGCATCGGTATAATGGACTTAAATGCAGATGTCATTATGTCCAGTGTCTCGTGCTAAATGAGTATTCTAAGCAGCTCAGGCTGCAGAGCTCCTTTTGTGTTCCAGCCCTGTTTGCTAATAGTCATGGGTGCACACTTTTATGTGCTGACACTTAAAGCAGACAATGGTCATGCTAGATAGTTGGCCTGTTAAGGAATCAGCCAGGAATGAAAATCAGAGGCACTACAAAGCTCCATTTACCTCCTCTTATGAATTAATTTTGATTGTAATCCCATGTCCTGTCCCCTGTGCTTGTGCCATGCTCGGGCCCCCCTTGCCCAGCACCAGGGATTGGTGTGCAGGGGCCAGGAC